TCAGTCTTCTCTGTGTTTTTCTCCTCAATATTAGTCTTCTCTGTGTTTTTCTCTTCAAAATCTAACTGTACTTAGCTGTTAGATTTTGGCTGGAGTTTTTTAAATTATTTCATGCTTTTGACAACTGACTTGCTTGAATCCAATTGGGAGGGAAAGAAAGAGAAAACAATAACTGAAAAGTTACTAAATCAAATTTAATTAAAATGGTTTTCTTTTTTGGCACTTTTTTCTTCAGATATGAAGGGGTAGTCATTTAATTGGAACTCTAAAAATAAAGTAACTTTATCATATAATATTCAGCATTAACCTGTTTCATAACAGGTATAAAATAATTACTTCTTAATACAATGCAAGTTCATTATAGAACATAGGAAGTGTTACATCTGAGGTAGCTTTACTCTACATCAACTATTTGCGTTTTATGTCAATTTTCTCTGCCATCAGAAGAAAACAAAAAGGAAAAGTAATTTAAAGTTCTCTTTCAGATGTAATATTGATCTAATTCTGGTCTCTGGAGGAGGCAACAAGAGTTCAGAGTTTGGGATGGGGAGCATGAGTCTCTGAGACATAGACAAATATGCAGAAGTCCCATCAGCATTTATTTTTGTCAACTGTGTTAAAATGAATTCTCCCCAAGTTATATTGGCTTTTTGGAATAATTCTTAGTTTGCCCATCCAGCCCTAGAAGAGCATTGATCCAGGCGAGATCACTCAAGATGTTTGCTTACAATCTCAAATGAGGAGAAAAAACTTCAGATGGCAGTGGGGAAGTGTTCTCTGCTAATTTCAAGAATCTGTATTTCTGTGTCTATGAAACATTGTCTATATGAAAGAGGCTGTATTACGTTCTCATAACTCAGACTTGGTTTCCTGAAGAGAGATCGCTTCCTCACATTTAACTTTAGTGAAAAAACTACATTATTAAAGCTAAAGTCAAAGATTTTTTTTTAATACTCTTTCTTCCTGCAAGTGATGTTAAATAAGGCTATAAAGAATTTATGAGAAAACAAAGAAAGTTGTTCAGAAAACTGGAGTTTCCTTTACTAACTCAGTTTGGCAATAACATGGAGCAAAATCAAAGCATCCTAGCCAAAATAAATCTTCACAATGGAGCTATCAGATATGAGGTAATAGTGTGACATGCCTGCGGGTATCAGATACTCTTGTAAAACCACAGACCTAAAATTTGGTCCTGCACCATTAATCCACAGCTCTGCCAAGCAACAACAGAGAACACACGTTTTAAATCACTGTTGCAAGCCAACTGTAATTCCCACCAAAAATAATTAAATCTTTTACCAGAGGTCTGAGTCTGGGCAGCTTATGCTCTGAGAGTCACTTTGATGGCATGGAATCTGAATCTCATTTTGGTGTGAAAATGGATGGTTATTGTTCAGAACAAGAAGAAATATCAGCTGCAAAAGATAGGGCTATCAAGTGACTTTGGTAACTTGAAGTGATATTTGTCAAGGTTAGATTAAAAAAGGGTTAGCTAAGAAATCTGTAAGTCCTTTTACAATGTTCGTTTTTAATGATTAGAAAAGTAGTTCATGCTCACTCTAGGAAAGCTGTAAAGTATGTGAGAATGTATAGAATAAAATATCATTTTGGTCTCATATAACTCAGATATAAACTTTATAACATTTTACTGCATTTCCTTTTGGTCTTTTACACACACACACACACAAACACACACACACACAGCTGTATCTGAGAATGTGTAAAATTTAGATCATTGCATGTTTTTAGTATTTTGCTTTTTGATTTTAACTGAACATGTTACTATTTCCCAGCCCCTTACATATTCTTCAAAGACAAGATATCTAATGGCTATACAATATTCCATTTGTCTGGCTATACCATAATTCATTGAGTATATGTTTACTCTATAGATTATTTCTTATTTACTGCTAGCATAAATAGTATTTTACATCAAACATGCTCACATCTCGAATTATTTTTTAGGATGGAATTTTAAAAGTGGACTTATGATGTCCAAGGGTAGCAGCTTTTTGAGGCTCTTGATATGTATTGCTAGCTGTTTTCCAGAAAAGTTATTAACTTCCACTAGCTATGTCTGTGATTGCCTGTCTCACCTATCATTTGCTGCTATCAAGCAAAATCTTCGATTAGGGATAGGTATGAATAGGGAAGAATGCAACATACTTTGTGGTTCAATATTTCTAAATATCAAATTATTTATCGAACAACACCAGTAAGTGCCTAATATGGTTCCTAGCACTGAGGATACAGTATTAAACAAACAAACAAGAAACCCAAATTCCTGTCCTCAATGAGCTTACATATTACTACGGAGAAAAAAATAAAATAAGTAAATCGGATAAGATATTGGCATTGTGAAGAAAAACATAGCGAGGAAGGGAGATGGGTAGTGGTGGTTGGATGAACATTGCACAACTTGCACATACTATTGGGATGTTTGAAATTTTCCACCTTTGAGGACATTTCCTGGTTTCTTGTAAGAGGTTAGTGAAAAAGTAAGTTGGAAAGTATTGAGCTCTGAAATCCAAATTAAATATTTGAGGAACTCAGGAATCTGTGACCATAAAAGGTATTAAATATTAAATGTAGACTTTCGTTAGTGTTAAGAAATTTCTGTTCTTTTGTTTATTATTTTTATCCTACTTTAATCCATCTGTTGAAGACGACTTAGCTATACATGGACAACAGCTACATATGACTTTTGTCTCTCTGCTTTGTTTCTCCATTTCCTTGCCTATTATCTATTCAAGGAGAGTAGGGAGGAAAAAAAGGCTTGGTGGGTGGAGGGTGAGAAATAATATAGGAAGGAGAGTAAGCAAAGAAAAGGAAAATGGAAAAATTTTTAGAAGCCCAATTCAGAGCAAAGGTCAGTGCCTGGTTGCAGGGACACCTGCCAGTCAAAAAGTGCTTTGATGAGTTGTCTTCTAAGCTTCCTTAACTGGGCTGTCTGAGGGGTAGCTCAGTGGTGTGATTCAGGCTACTAGAATTGGATGTAAATTATCTAATTTTTGGATTTGTTTTTTTACCAGAGAAATAAAAGTAACCCTTATTCTGTATTTCTAGGGGGAAAAAACACCTTTATTAAGCTTTCCTTAGTTCTTTACAATTTTATCACTCTTCGAAGACTCTTTTTTTCTTTTTACAAAGCAAAGATCTCTAGTCTCCTATCATAATTTTGGCATAATTTAGGAGAACTTTAAAGCCAAGCTAAGAAGAGATTGAAGGAAAAGTAAAAGTTCTCTTAATCCTAAGATTTTCAAAGTTTAGTCTTCTCACAAATTATTTTATCAAAGATTTAGGTTTTTATCATATTTGAAAGTTTTAAAAACCATGTTTTTTTCTAAGAAAGAAAAAATTACAGATATTTTCTATTAAGTTTATTAGACATTTTTAAAAGACATAAAAATAGCTATGGTGCTGCTGAGAGTAAATAGTAGGACCATTTTTTTGCATGCTCTGAATTGAGAACAATCGCCTTAATTCTTAGATGTCTTTCTTCTCTAACTTTATCTTTCCCAAATAAAAATTTCTTCACTCATTGTTTCAAACCACAGACTTATTTTAAATTTAATTCAAATAAAGACTAAGATACGTGTAGGCCCGGAAAAGATAGTTATATTAACCGTTGTCACATAAATCCAAATCTATATTTCTGCCATCTGATGGAAATTTGTTTCCATTGTCTTATCAGTGTTAGAGGTGATATAGAATAACAGCGGGCAAAGCATAATGGGAAAATGATACTCAAGTTGAGCCGAAAAGGCACTGAACAAACAAACTTGTCCCATATCACATTCTAGTTAGAAGACCCAAAACTGGGGGGGTGAACTCTTATTTATAGCCCAATATTATTTTCATCTCATCAATGTTTATTATTTTTTAATACAGATGGGGCTGTGTTTTTCATATAATTATTGGTTGTTTTGGAGGCAGCATTTTAAAATAACAAAAAACTGAACATAAACCAAGGAACTTAACATCTCTAAGGTTGAAATTACTCCCGATCTTGCTGAATTGTTGTAAGAGACAACACATAACAAGTACCTAGAAGAGAGCTTCTTTCATTGTAGACGCTGAATAAATAGAATGTATTATGGTGACAGAAGGCAAAGGAGATTTCCAGTTATAGATCATTGCTCAGAATGGGGAATCAATAGATACCATCTAAACATAGAGATATAAAGGTAACCTGTAGAAAAACATCAAATCAATAGAATTTTTTTCAATGATCTGAATATATACAAATGTATATAGTAAGATACATTTTTAAAAGCTTATCTTTTATATCAATATGCATAAATGTGATAAATGTTCCTATTAAGAGAAAACAACTTCCAGATTAGATCATAAAGCAAAACAACTATATAGTACATATAAGATCACATCTAAAACAGAATAACTCAGAAAGGTATAGCAAATAAACACATAAAATAAATATAGCAACTCTCTCAATTTTTTAACCAAACAAATGAATTTGGATAAAAATAATCACATTAAATAAGACAAAGAAAAATACTTTATAGTGGTAAAGATAGTAAAGAAAGAACACAAATTTTATTGTATTATAATCACAACTATATAAATTGTATGTACACATAAGGGCTGGAAGTAAACACGATAGACCAAAGTGATGAGATTATGGATTTTTTTTTCTTGTTCATTTCTATTAATGCTGTTACAATTAATAATAATACCATGATTGATTTCTTAAATTGAGTACTGATTATAATTTAGAAATCTAGAATAACTAGAATAAAATTCCTGAGATATATCTCATTGTCAAAGAAGAAATACATATGCGTTAAAGATTTTTAGATACATATATCTTCCACTCAGAGTATGAGTCTTTTTCTTTAGCACTACAATCATTTCAGCTACCTGGTTCAACAGAAACTTTGAGTTTATTTTAATCTGATTGTGATGTGATGTTGCTGTCACTTTTATGATATGCTACTCTTTGACCATCAAGTAGTTATCTTCTCTCTCTATTTTTACAGCAATATGAGAACTGGAGGCCCAACCAGCCAGACAGCTTCTTTTCTGCTGGAGAAGATTGTGTTGTCATCATTTGGCATGAGAACGGCCAGTGGAATGATGTCCCCTGCAATTACCATCTCACTTATACTTGCAAGAAAGGAACAGGTATTAATTACTCTATTAATAATGTATACTTAATTTGTATTTCTATTATCAAGTGAACTCAGGAAGACTGAACTTCATTCTCTAAGACACAAACTGGATATGTCCTGTACATCATCTCTTGTTGCTCTGGACTATTTTACTCTTACAATACAATTGAAAAGTTGGTTTTCAGTAATGTTTTCACCATAGATTTCAGATACTTAAGATAAAATGTAGCATTATGTAGAAAAACTATCTCCAAGTGTTTTTAAGAAAAACAACAGCCAGCTCAAGGGCTGAAAGACCTGTTTAGTTTGTTGAGGAAAGGATTAAAAAAAAATTGGTTGTCGACATCTAAAAATTGGGATATATCATAAAATATTCTGGAATTTTTACTTAAAAAAAAAAAGAACATCTGGTACCATTTGACCCATGTTCAAATTTGTCCATGGTGTGAAGCACCAGAGTTGAAAACCACTGCCCTCCCTCTGCAGGGTCATGGGAGCTGTTCACTGAAGTCCTTCCCTGTTTTTAACTGCCTGGTATTTGTAGGCAGTTGAGTTTTTTAATCGTTTCCTTAGAAGCTTATTTTATGCTTATAAACCATGGAACAAAAAAGCCACCCTTACATCTAGTTGAATGCCTTCAAGGTAGGACCAAATAAAAACATTTATAATGTTAAGTTCCATAAAGAGGAGAATTGCTTAATTGACATTAAAAAGAACACATTAAGAAAGATGATTTTTTAAAAGTGTGTTATGTTTATCATTAACCAGTGTGTTTGAATTTCTAAGGCATACTGTATAGACATCTTCCTTAATCCGATAGAAATCCATAAATATTTTTAACCTGTTTGCAGTTGATAATGATGTTGAATATGAATATTTAGTCTCTAAGCATAGACCTTTACCTACCTTGAGTAAGAGTATAAAGTACAAATGCAAGCTATAAAATCCATTTGATTTGTCTTTAAATATAAAAATAACAAAACTACAAATACACAGCCTGTAAATATTTTAGGAAAGACTCAAACACCAATAATGAGAAATGCTATTAGAATAAAGAGAATGCCAAGATACACAAAGCTCGAATGAAACTCAACCACTATTTGTGACTACTTTGCTATTCTCTTATCTAAATTAGAATTTATTCTGAATATCCTTTCTATATGAGCACCTTTCCTGTATGCACAGTACTTCAGCATTTCTGCAATGAGATTTGTGAAAATAGCAAATCAGGTGCCTGTTTTCCCTGTTTCTAATGTAAGAAGTCTTTAATGAACTGTTTGTCTTTATCCAAATGTCATGTTTGCTTTCTCAGATCTCCAAATGGTTCTTAGAGACATGCATTTCATTTTATGATCCAAACATTCTTCTATTTCCTATGTTATTTTTTCCTGTAGCAGAGTTTCTCAACATCAGCACTATTGACATTTTGGGCCAGATAATTCTTAGTGGTGGGGGGCTGTCCTGAACATTGCAGAATGTTAAGAATCACCTCTGCTCTCTAAGCACTGAAGGCCAGTAGCATTCTCTTCCATTCCACATTACCCCCTCCCTTTGCTTTGTGACAACTAAAAATGTCTCTAGACATTGCCAACTGTCCCTGGGATGGGAGGGAGAGGAGGAAAACTAACCCCAGGTTAAGAACCACTGCCCTTATAGCTAAAAAGAATTCACAAACCGGCATCACAGTTTACATTTTCCAGTGGGCAAAGAGATTAATAAAATGTTGGCTCTAATTCATTAAAGGAGGAAAAACAAAACAAAACAAAATAATCCTTGTGTTTTATCTCCTTACTGTCTGATTTTTATTTACATAGATTTGAATCTTTGTTAATCAGTACTCTGGGGAATTTTATGAATTTTATAAAAGTCTATAGACTTTTATGAAAGATATTCATTTCTCCTTTCAGATAGTTAAACATACAGACTTAAGTAGTTCTATTTTTAATTAAATACTTGTAGAGAAGGATTATAATATATACAAAAGATATATATATACATATATGTATGTATATATTTTAAAGGACGCCTCAGTGCATGCTATCCACAATTCTTGGGAGCACCCTATAGAATCCTTCCAATTCCATTCATTTACTTCCCAATTTCAGCCATAGATAATGACTTAATTTCTTACTTTTCTCTTTATTATTATCACATATGCTTGTATCTATATATAACAAATTGTTTAGTTTTACATAATTTTGAACTTTATGTAAGTGGAATCAGTTGTGTCTTGCATAATGTTTGTGAAATTTATCTGTGTTGATGCATGTAGCTATATTTCTTAATTTTTGCTGCTATATGGTATTTCATTGTATGACTATATAACATTTTATTTATTGATTCTCCTGTCAGTGGACATTTGGGTTATGTTGTGTTTTTACTATTATGAACAATGTTTCTTTGAACATTCTTGAACTTGTTCCTGGTAGACATTCGTGAGTTTCCATAGGGTATTTTTCCAGGAATGAAGTGCTGAGTCATAGGATACATGCACCATCAAATTTACTAGAAAATGCCAAATTATTTTCCAAAGTGGTTGTACCAATTTGCACTCCCACCAGCAATGTGTGAGATGTTCTGTTATTCAACATCTTCGCCAACACTTGATAATTTCGGACTTTGACATTTTTGCCAATCTGGTGGGTATAAAATGTTATCTCTTGTGATTTAATTTACATCTTTTTGAATACTTTTTTCATGATATCTGTTCATATACTTATAGGTCATTCATGGCTTTTCTTTTATAAAGTTTTTGTTCATGTTTTTTGCTTATTTTAAAAAATTGGCTGCTTCTCATTTATATATTGATTCGTAGGACTTATTTTTATATTCTAGTTACTAATCCCTTGACAGTTAGATATTGTGCAAATATCTTCTTCTAGTTTGTAACATGTCTTTACTCTTACTCTATCGCATTTTTTGATGAACAGAATTCTTTATTTTGTTGCATTTTCCTTTATGATTTAAACAATTTTATATCTCAAAAAATCCTTACCCACCCTAAAATTATAAAGATAGTCTATGTCATTAGTTCTAAGTGTTTATAGTTTTACCTTTTATATTTATCATTTAAACCATCTAGAAATTGATTCTCCATACTTTCTCTGAGGTAAGGAACTAAGTAACTTTTTTTCCATATAAAATACCCAATTGTCTAAGTGAAAAAGCTTCTTTTCCTCACTGCTCTACCATGTCACTCTGTCAAATGTCAAGCATATATGTGTGGCTCTACTTCTGATATTTGCCTGTCCTTGACGATATTTTAGCTTTATGTTGTCTTCATATATAAATAGATTTAGAAGAAATCTGACATTTCTTTCCTTAGAATTATAAAGATAACTTCTAATTTGTCAACATAGCACAGAATTAAGTATAATGAATTATCTAGTTGATAATTTTTAACCTTCTATATTGCTTTGGTCTTATTCTATCTGATACTTGCTAGTATCTAAACCATGGTGTAGGCTTTCCATATTACAATTACAGGCATTGAAATTGGGGTTATCATTGAACCACATACATAGAGTAGTTTATTAATTGAAAATGGAAAATAATTATAGAAATCTCTGTTTATAGGAATTTGTGAAGATCAAATAGTCATATGTGCAAATATTTCTAATTTCTTAGTTATAGATAGTATGACTTTATAATTTATTGTTAGTCTATCTGACTAACAATTTCTAACATGAAATATTGGATTGTGTTTCATTAAAGAAAACTTTGTTATGGGTCAATATGTTCCAAGATGTTTAGTCAAGTAAGTTAGAGGAATTAAATATTTAAGTTAAACTAAAATTTGTCATTGCAAAAGAATGTAGTTGCAAACAGCTTTCTGATTATATAAATAAATTTTATAGTTGTAAACTTTTAATATTAGGATATTGACATTCAAACAGCTTGGTACCAAGGTTTCTAATAATTACCCTCCCATTGAAGAATTGCATTATTACACAAGAGAATATAACATGTTCTTGTTATGGGCCTTGTGGTGTCATAATTCTTAGGAATTGGATAGGAAATGCCATTTAGGGAAATTATATTTAAGTTAAATTATGCTTTTATATGAGATATATAGCAAAACATAGTCACTTAATAAAAGTTAAACTTTAAAGTATATCACTTAAAACAAGTACACCAATGATGAATAAAGCCATAAGTTCAAAATCAGTTGAATCTGAATGGAGACAGAGGGAAACTAAAGATGATTACCATGTCCTAACTTTCTCCCTGTCTCCATACAGAAGACAGAAAGAGTAAATAAACTTAAATGGAGCTGGAGACATTTTACTGATACTTAAGAGTCCATATTTTGTCCATATTTTAAAACTATGATATTATTATAGATTTTAAGTTTTTTCAAGGCGGTGACAACAATAGTCAATTGTTATTGTTTATTTATTAGTTTATTCATTATTGTTCCAAGTGAAGGAGAGTAAATAAAACTTTAGATGGTGATGAAGACAATACTACCAGGCCACGTGAGACAGGTGCTTTTTAATTTGGAATTTTTTAAGAAAAGTGACCATTTAGCCCTATGGTTCTTTAATAATGCACAATTTAAAATGACATAATCTGAGATTTGAACTAGGCCCAGAGCCTCAATATTTAGTTTTATTTTTCCTTCAAAATTTTCAATTTGTTAATTCTGATTGCCTTTGACGAAGGTGCTTGATTGGGTAAATAAAGAGAGAAAGAGAAAAAAAGGGACACATACTAATAGAAATATTTAGATTATTTGGAAATAACCTAATTTACTTTTCTTTAGTTGCTTGCGGCCAGCCCCCTGTTGTAGAAAATGCCAAGACCTTTGGAAAGATGAAACCTCGTTATGAAATCAACTCCCTGATTAGATATCACTGCAAAGATGGTTTCATTCAACGCCACCTTCCAACTATTCGTTGCCTAGGAAATGGAAGATGGGCCATGCCTAAAATTACCTGCATGAACCGTAAGTGGTCCTTTAGAAAGAATGGACAACCGTGCTATAACAACTACTAGACGTCCTCATTTACGGCTGCGGTATTGGTAGTTTAGGGTATGGAGCAAGTAATATTGTTGTGTTTTCTTTCTTTCTTTCTTTCCTTCCATGTAGCATCTACATACCAAAGGACTTATTCTAAGAAATACTTTAAAAATTCTTCATCATCAAAGGACAATTCAATAAATACTTCAAAACATGATCACCGTTGGAGCCGGAGGTGGCAGGAATCGAGGCGCTGATCCCTAAAATGGCGAACATGTGTTTTCATCATTTCAGCCAAAGTCCTAACTTCCTGTGCCTTTCCTATCACCTCGAGAAGTATTATCAGTCAGTCTGGATTTTTGGACCACCGTCCAGTCATTTTGGGTTGCTGTGCTCCCTAAACATTTTAAATGAAAGCATTGGTATTCAAAAAGAAAGCAAACAAAATGAAAGAAAATGAGGGCAGAGAGTAACCATTTCCAGCCTATCTGATTTCTTTAGTTTTCTATTTGCCTTCAGTGCAGACCATTTTATAATGTATACCAGCCTACTGTACTATTTAAAAAGTTCAATTTCAGCACCAATGACAATGTAAATAAGATGATTTAATGTTGATTTTAATCCTGTATATAAAATAAAAAGTCACACTGAGTTTGGGCATATTTAATGATGATTATGGAGCCTCAGAGGTCTTTAATCATTGGTTCGGCTGCTTTTGGTAGTTTGTTTAGGCTGGAAATGGTTTTACTTGCCCTTTGACTGTCAGCAAGACCGAAGACAGCTTTTCCTGGACAATTAGCAAACACAAAGTCTTGTAGGTCACACTGCACTGTCTCGGTGTGGGTGCAGTTTGCTGCCATGTGATGCCGAAGCCTGGCTAATGGGATCCTGATGGACCTCGGGACTGCAATGTGGAACTCTTCTTTGCTGCATTCCTTTTTCTCCACTTACAAGAAAGGCCTGAATGGAGGACTTTTCTATGACCAAGAGCATTTTTTAGGGGTCAAAGTGCTAATTATTAACTCAACCAGGTCTACTTTTTAATGGCTTTCGTAACACTAACTTGCAAGGTTTCAGATCAACACATTTCAAATGGATAGAGACCTAGGGCTCTGGAGGGTGGGGGAATTGTTAAAACAACACATTCAAAGAAAGAAATTTTGTATATATAACCATTTTAACCTTTTATAAAGTTTTGAATGTTCATGTATGAATGCTGCAGCTGTGAAGCATACATAAATAAATGAAGTAAGCCATACTGATTTAATTTATTGGATGTTATTTTCCCCCAAACCTGAAAATTGACATAGTACGCTAGTTATTTTTTCAGTGTTAGCCTTTATGCTTCCCTCACACAGTTTGGAACCATATAATCTAGATACTTTGTCCCTGATTAAATAATGTGATGGATAGAATGCATCAGTGTTTATTACGAAAAGAGTGGTGAAGTGTAGCTTTCAGTAGTAGATGGTGTTTGCCCATTCTAAGCAAAGAGCATTTATATAGAAATAATGTAGGCATTTCTGCCTGTTAGGTTGAGTGTATGTCTTGAAATGTCTTCCTATCTCTTCCCATTTGTTTTCTCCCCTTTATTTGAATAAGTGACTGCCGACAATGATTTTGAATTATTATCCACTTAATTTAATGTTTAAAAAAAAAAAAAACCTGTAATGGAAAGAAGGCATTTAGGAATCTTTCTCTAATTTCAGTTAGAATGACCTTAGAAGAGTAGATAACAAATAAAATGCAAATAGCAAAAGAACAATTCCACACTAATTCTTGTTCATAAAACCCTTTAGCTTAGAAGGAATGACAAGAGCTACAATCATTCACAGTGTCTTTAAGCAAATTCTCTTGGTTGCTGCATTAACTGAAATCCACCTTGGGTGTTCTAGAGCACAGAACAACATTGTGTCAACCTATTAGGTTTAAAATTTTCCTCTTTCATTCCTATGCACATGATACGTTCCTGTATTTATATTATAACATGTATAGTGTAAAATGTGAATGATTGTGGGGGTTTTTTGTGACTGAAAATCTAAAATCTTTGTAACTTTTTATACCTGCTTTTGTTTCACCAAAGAAACCTAAAGTCCTTCTTTTACTATACTGTGACTGGTCTGGTTATTTACAACTGTAAATCTTAATGTGCACCAACATTTTTACATTCTAGTTCCATCACTGAGTACAAGCTGCTGGACGAAATAATTTCATGGCTAGCAGAGAGGTGATTATATGTGTACCTGTAAAAATTGAGATATTAATTATAATAATGTTTACATATACATGCTTATGCATTAATCTCAAATATGAAAGAAACATGCAATAGGAAAAAGTGATAGCTCAAATTTACTGAATGTTTCCTATGAACCAGGCCAAATGTTTTATGTGCATTATCTCCCAATAAGCCTGTGAGAGCAGTACTGTTAACTCTCTGTTTGATGATCAAATGTAGAATACTCAAGTCATTTGTTCAAAGTTATGTAATTAGTTTGTAGTGCATGCAGGTAATCTCTAGAGCCTGCATGCTATTCTCAAGAAATATATAAAATACTATGTTCCTAATTGTTATACATTTAGGAAGTTAATTTACTGGCTAGTAAGATCATACCGAAGTAATAATCAGATGTCAGGAACATCAAGTTTCTATCTATCCAGATATCCATCCATTTCTTCATTTTACATTCATTCACTATTTATTAAGTACTTACTGTGTGTCAAGCATCATACTGGGCCCTGGAAATTCAGCAGTGAATAAGCTAGACAGGTCTCTGCTTACCTATGGGATTTATTTTACAGCCCACTCTATTCAATATTTTTATTGATCATTTGGAAGAACAAATAAAACCCTTATATGTTGTGCAGTTGTATAGAAAATATCATAAAGTACAAAGGTGAGTTAAAAATTATTTTGAGATTTCTTTCTTGGAATGTCAGAAATATATGAGAAGTTGGGCATGAATAGATGCAGAAAAGAAGAAATTCTTTTCCTTGCTGAGTTTGTCGTTTTAATGTGTAATCTGTCATATCTTTTACACAGACCTTTAAATAGAAATTATCCAAGAGAGTATATAAGAATCTGCTTGCTCATGCATAGATTCCCTTTAGATGTTTATAAACCCATCAGACAAATTTCTATTGCTCTAGGTGTGAATATTAGAGACTGTTGGATGTTCCATTACCCAGAATACTAGATCAGAGTGAGAACTTTAAGGAGAGTTTCACTACTCAAGTCAGCCAGAAGTGGTTTTCTATTCATTTCTAAAGGCTAGGTTACATATCAGGGGGAAGAATATGCTCCTACCATAAGGGACTATTTAAAAAGAGGTGGTCTTCTAGGGTAGTTGAAATGGAAAAGAGGTAAAAGAGATTGTATAGGGAGGGATACATCATTGTAATGTGATGGCAAGTAGACCTTTACCAATCTTAAGTAAATTTTCAATATGATACAGGAAGTAGGAACTGGATTAGCCTTGAACTAATTGCCTAGAAGTCATATATCATGTAAAATAAAGTTATAGAGTTTGGAAATGGACAGAAAAAAGGTAATAGTTTCCATAAAGTTTCAGAGTTGATTTTGTGCATAACCTGTCTATGAACGATGCCTACCAAGAAAAGAATCCACAAGAGAATATGTATTTTAGATAAAGGCAGAAGATATTCTCACATGGCTAAAGACTCAATGATGACTTCCACATTTTGAAATATGTCTCTTTTTGTTTCCTAATATTACAAGTGCACTGAAATAATTTTTGAAGAAAAAGGCCCTCGGTGATGTTTTTGTACCGATATTCGTGCATCCTCTTTTTCTTGTGCCACAATTCCTACTTGCTAAATAAACCAGAATTCACCCAATGGTTCTTTTCTAAAACAAGTCAAAATAGAAAGTTTATAAAACTCATTCTTTGAATGAGTCATTCTAGATTGTATAATCTTTTCCCATTATTACTCATTTGTGTATGTTTAGATCCCAGCTAGACAAGAAAGAGCAAATGCCAAATAAGAACAAAAATCATTTTTGTTGAGGTGTTTACTGAAGAAGCAAAGCCTGGGTTTTAATCAAAATTTAATTCAGAGTTCCATCTGAGTTCATTGAATGAATGACCTCTGCTGAAGATTAAAAGTTTGCTGCCTTAAGGAAGCAAGTTTTAAATGATTTTTGATAGTGTTTACTCTAAAAACAAAAAAAGTTAACTTTGTACCTTTCACTTTTTAAGTTGTCAACAGCAAAAAAATTTCCTTATAAAGTTAAACAATTGTAAAGGATGTTGTTTTTGGCATATTTTAAATATTGTCATTCTAAAATAAACATGTAACATCACTCTTTTAATTAAGTTTAGTGGAGTCTAAATACCACAATGGCTTGATATCTACTATCATCTGTTTAAAAAATATTTGAAGAAAAATACTCTTTTAACAGCCAAATATTTTATTTTTAGATTTACCTTTTTTACTTCAGTTCATATATACATCAACATCTGTATTAAAAATTGAAAATTAATTTTCTTATGAACATAAAGATTTAAAAGTTAAAAATCTTCTCCTGGATTGAGTTATTATTTTACTGATATACAATTAATAAAAACAGTATTATACTCAGAAAATTTTAAAAATAATTATGCAAATTGTAAAATTTTATTAAAAATATATCTGAGATGACTATGGCTGTTTTTCCCAATACACATTTCTATGAGTAAATATTACTTTAAACTAGAATATGTTATGGCATAGCATCAATTCTATTCCTATTTTGTTTTTATAGATTTAAACACTGACTAAACTTGTTCACAGATAAGTAGATGGAAATAATAGCTTTTTTATGCAATGCTATTCGTTTTGTTTTACCTCTCTCTGAATTATATGCCAAAAATCACAGTGATCTATCAAAGTTATTTTCAGTTACTTTTCAACTGACATATCTATGAAGTCCTTCTTAAATTTTTCTTGTAAACACCTGACTTAAAAAAGGATTTGATTTGTACAGTGTTATCAGAATCATTCATTTTGATTCATCCTTTTATTTAATCATAGTTATTACATACTGTGGTAATGCATTGTAAGACTCAGGATGGATGAGAGGTATGTTTGATGTGATGGTTGTTTTTTATAAAATGGGAAAAGAGCAATTGTATAAAGCCTTTGATTCTCTAAGTTTGTTCCCTGAAATAACAGCATTACCATCACCGAGGAATTTGTGAGAAATGAAAATCCTCAGAACCTACCCTACTGAATTACAAATTTGGGGATTGGAGAGAGCAACCTGGGTTTTCACAAGCACTGCAGATGATTCTGATGCATTCTAAAGTGTATGATGTAAAACCGATGTAAAGAAGATGCAAAAGTAGAACCAACAGCCTCCACCACAGATACCTTCTTACACAGATGAGTTTTAGGAAAGAGGCCAGGTAAAATTGAAGTTCTGGAAGTTGCTTCTCTTTGTGTGCTCATATACCTCTTGGAGAGTCCTGGGGTATTCCCAGGGTAAGCGACCCTACTTTGAAGACCACTGCTTTAAAATACACAGTCCTTAAAGTACTTTCAGATTTTTAGTACGTTACCTATCTATATTTATGAACATGTGTTCTATCAGTTGGTGATGATTACTTTCCAACCTTTGACAGAGCTTCTGGTCTTACAGGTGAGAAACGCTTTCTCTATAGGGAAAATAAAACAGCATGATTAAAAATGATCATTTCTTAAAGGATATACCTCAAACAAAGTTTGAAATGCAAGAATTAAGACAAATTTAAAAATAAGAAGTAGACGCAAAAAAGATACATTGTAACTTCCCAGCAAGAACCAGCCTTGAAAAGCAACTTCAAACATAGTAGGGAGCCCCAAAAGAGATCCTTGTGGGAGAGTCTTTGGAGCGAATTGATCTCTGAATAACTCCATTTCCTAAATCAGCTCTCCCTCTCCCATTAGCCAGATTGAACTCACTATTCATTCAGTAATATATATTGAATACTTACCATGTGCCAGGCACTATACTAGATATTGGGGATATTGTTATAAACAAGACAGGCCAAGTCCCTGTTCTCAGTGGCTCTTATAGTCTAATGAAAAATCAGCTGAGCACTAAAACAGGAAGAGATTTGATTTCTCAAAATGTTGCTAATGCCTCCATTCTTAGTCATCTCTTTGTTCTACTCTCCATCTTTACCTGATTCTTTCAAAACCATGGTCTTAACCACTTCCTGTGTTATAACTTCCACATCTTTCTTTTGTGTGATGGTTATGTATCCAGGTGTTGAAGTTCATAGGCACATTAAACTCCATATATCCCAAATCGAATGATTCTTTAACCCTCTCAATAGCCATCTACACATTTTTTTAAACTAGGAGTCTAAAACTCATCTGAACTCCTAATTTAATGCCCATATTCAATGAAGCACCAAATTCTATTAATTCTACCTCCAAAAGTTTCTCATAGCCATCATCTCTCTCTATTCCAACTGTCCTCAATATCTCTAGTATTACGATCTCTAGATGCATCACTTTCAAAATAATCTTTTATACTACTATAGAGTATTCTTCCAAATGTGCAAATCAAAGCCTGACATTCTCCAGCTCAGAATCTTCAGAACCTACTGCCTACAAAATACACATAGCAAAATGTTTTGGGGGAAAAAAATG